ATTTCCTATTTCTCTGGAGACTGTTTTTATGAAGGGGAAAAGGAAATAAACTTTCTGATTTTGTCTTTTTATATACGCTCTATAGTTTTTCATTAAAAGTTTAAAATGGAACGTAAAAACGCATACAGACTAATACAGAAATAACGAAAATTTAAAAAAGAAAATGAGAAATGAAGTCACAAGTGCAGAACGTAAAGATAAAAAGAAACAGGAAGACGCTTCTGATAGATCCTTTGCAGCAAATACAGATATGATTACAAAATTATCTCTCACTCTACAATTATAAAAAAGAAAAGCTCTCTTTTTTCTATTATCCCGTTGTTTTTCTAATCATTAAAACCACAAGTCATAAGTGCATTTTTTTTCCTGTTTCATGCAAAAAAAAAAAATCTAACTGTCCGTCCATTAATCCTGAAAGTCTCTGGTTTCAGTTGTATATTAATCTTTAAAATCTTCTGAATTAGTGTAATTATTTGTATGCAATTCTGATAGAAGAAAACTATTAAGAAGCATATTCTTCTGCTATCAGATCTTCTGTTGATTTCTTCCTTTGAAAAAATTGCAGTACATCACAATAAGTTCACCATTTAGGTTTACTTATCAGCTCTCGTACATAAAATGCTTCTTGTGCACAACCTAGATTTATATTTATTGCATACTTTTGTTAGGCAAATGGCCTGCCTAACAAAATGATTTTTGGAAATCTACCTTAACCTTGGTTTTATCATTCCATAAAGATCCATGCCATCCTAGAGATAAGAGCTAAAACCAGAACTTTTCCTATTAGGCATAACTACATGGAAATACGATAAAGTGATATTTTACCTGATGTTACATATTCTCACTGCTGCTAGATTGGGGTACGCACAAAATTGGAGGAATAAAGAAACTCCATTAGAAGAAGAGATTCTATACAAAATACTATCGTGTGCCAATATGGACAGGCTCACAGTGGAAATGAAGGACAAGACTGAGTTAGATTATTTTGAAATCTGGGACAAATTCTATTACTGGTGTGAATCAAGGAAGACTGTCCGGGTTATAATCTAGTGTTAAGATAGAAATATATATAATTGTATGTTAGTAACTAGAGAAATGAATTAGATATTGTATAAAAAAGTATGTATGTATATATAGAGATAAAGAATTATATGTAAGAAGAGGATCAAATTGTTAGAAATACTTATACTGGAATGTTACATTATGTCCACTTTTTTTTTTAACTGTATTATAAATAAAAAACTTAAAAAAAAAAAATCCATGCCGTCCAAATTTTAGATCATGTCCTTCTCAATCCAGTAGACTTCTATTTCTTAACAACTTCCTCTCTTTCATCCAAGCTAAACAGGCAGCAGTGCCGTTTCAAATCTTGTAGAACCAATCCTTCTCTTTCCTTTGCACCTTGCAATACCTTATACAGTTAACTCAAGGGGTTGTTTCCCACCGTACAAATTTAGATATAACCTTCTGTCATTATTTTGAAGTTCGCTTTTTTCAAAGGAAAAAAAAATGAGAACAACCCATTTGCCTGTTCCATTAGCACAGCCCTTCATTCATCCCTGCAAAAGTGGTTTTTTATTTTATCATTGTGAGGTTACAATCACAGCCATTTCTTTTATTTCTTCTTTTTTTTAAGTAAAAGAAAGAAAGAAATAGACAGACAGACAGACAGATAGATAGATAGATAGATAGATCTTGCACTCTTTCAGATAAATGCAACACTATGCTAGACATGGCACTAAAAAGCTGCAAGACGGTCCGGCGGATGGACATCAACAGCCAGAATCACTTTTTCGTAATTACAGTTCCACTCCCTTGTAAAGTAAACACCTCATTAATATAGCCCGATAAATCATCTCTCCCTCCAAAAGAAAAGTGGAAAGGAAACAATTTCAACTCATAAGCCTTTCCCAAAGTGCAGCCGTTTGCCAGCTTGCAATCCCTAAAAGCTTTGTTTCATAAAAAATCATGGAACGGCTATAAAGGAAACATCCAAGAGATGATGTAAGTCAATCCCTTGGGGCGGGACTTCATCGGTCTCCATGCCTTCATTCACACATGCAGGAGCAGGATAGAGTCCTCACTTAGCAATCACAATTGGAACCGGCAACTCAGCTACTAAGCGCCCTGGTCACTAAGTAGATAATCACATGCAGAAGGAAGCACAACAGAACTGGAAGGGTCCTTGGAGGTCATCAAGACCAGCTCCCTGCTTGAGCAGGAGTTCCTCTACCATTTCAGGCAAATGGTTATGAATTTTCAAAATGAGAATGAATTTTCAGTCATGGGTGCCCATTCTGGAGCCATTGAAATCAATTTATGATCTCCAGAATGGTTGTGTTTTTTTTTCCCTTAATCATGCAATCACATGATCACAATCGGGGCATTTATAGCCAGCTTGTAATTACAACAATTGCAGCATCCAGCAATCACGTGATCCCTGTTTGCAAACTTCCCGGGGGGGGAGCTTGCAAACAAGCACCAATCAAAGGGGAAGCCGAGAAGGAAAGATCACAAGTCGCAGTCCTGTGATGTCTCACTCTAACGACCACAGTGATTTGCTTAATGCAAGGGAGCTGAAGGCACGCCCCTTCACGCCCCGTGATTTTCCCCAGCACTGAGCGAAAGTCCACGCTGGTTTACATAGAAGGCTTGCACACACGAACTGCACTCCTTTGCACACCCAGCGATCCCATCTAATCTCCTTAGCTCTGCCCTGACCTATTGTTGAGGCGAACGAGTCGTAATCGGTCCCTGCGGACTATTTATCGCACGCAGAAAGCAGCTTTTCAACACCATTAGAAGAGGTCTAACGATCTCAAGCCAGTAAACATCTCCCACCGTTATTCCAGCAGAAGACCAAAGAGGGGCTGCCTGTCCACCTGCTTTCTGACACACCACGAGAGCCGGAGGACTCCGGATTGGATCGCACCCTGTATCCATGAGGCACGATTGCAGGTCCAACCATTCATTTAGTGGCATGGGTGCTGAAAAAAGTGACTTACGACCCGTTTTCACCCTTGCGACTGTTGCAGTGTCCCCGTGATCACGCGAGCAAAATTTGCTGGTCATTTGCCTTCTTTTAGAGAGTCGTTGAGGCCACTTGGAGGTTTTATCTGTGTCCTCAAGGTCACACCCATTTGCACTACTCAGATGACCCCAAGGTCACAGGTAAATCTCCAGGTGGCCTCAATGACTTTCTAAAAGAAGGCAAATGACCAGCTGTCTGCAAGGAATATAAATCCTTCCATTCCCCCACCATCCAGTCAGAGCTGAAGAAGCTTCTGGGATGAAAAGTGAAACGTCTTCGAAGGAAAACAAGAAATTCCAGTTGTCTCGTGAAAAAGCATCTCTGGGACGATGAAGAACAGGGAGGCCTAGTTCTAATCCACCCTCAGACCTGCCAATTCACTGGGGGATTTTGGACTAGCTGTTTACTCTTCGCCCAATCTACCTCACGGGGCTGTGATGGGCAAAAATAGCTCTTGTACTGTGCTTAAATAAAGGTAGTCCTCGACTTACGACCACAATTGAGCCCAACATTTATGTTGCTAAGTGAGACGTTTGTTAAATGAGTTTTGCCCCATTTTACGACTTTTCTTGCCACGTTTGTTCAGCTGCAGTTGTTAAGTGAGTAACACGGTTGTTAAGTGAATCTGGCCTCCCCCCCCCATTGACTTTGCTTGTCAGAAGGTTGCAAAAGGGGATCACGTGACCCCGGGGCGTTGCGACTGTCGTAAATATGAACCAGTTGCCAGGCGTCTGAATTTTGATCATGTGACTGTGGGGATGTTGCAAAGGTCCCCAAATGGTCATAAGTCCCTTTTTTCAGTGCTGCTGTAACTTTGAATGGTCACTAAATGAACTGTTGTAAGTTGAGGACTACCTGTCCACCCGTGTCTGATTCTTTTTTTTTATTTATTTATTTTATTTTATTTTTTTACATAAACATAAATCTTTTCTTCTAACAGAACAGTGCTTTACATTTTAAATATTCTTTACATCTTATTTACATTTTATGTACATCAATGTACATGTCTTTTTCTTTCTCTGTTCTAGCCAATTATAACATTTATTCCAAATTTCATAAAATTCTGACGTCTCCTTGTCTTTTAATTCTAACGTAAGTTTGTTCATTTCTGCGCATTCCAAGATTTTATACATAATCATATCATTTGTGGGAATATTTTCACTCTTCCAACATTGCGCATATGCTATACGAGCTGCAGTCAA